ACCTCATCTTTTCTTTTACATAAAATTTAAACGCCTTTATCGCACAAATATTTACTCGGGGCTTTCCCTTTTATCCGTACCTCACTTATTTCTACAGAAATTGTAGTGTCACGAAGAGGGTTATCGGGTCGAAGGTGCGCAACGTGCGTGCTCTTCAATTAACCCTTCGCCGTTATCGATAGTTCCGATCGAATCTCCGCGCGAACAATCGCGACCGTATTTTCGCCGCGCGCTGTCGACGTAGCATGATTCGATGCTTCACAATGATTCCTGTGTGATCCGGCGTGTATACCGACTGCGGCGATGAGGAGTTTCATTTTTTTTTCCTTCTTATCGAATGCAAAATACGAACGCAACACACTGCACGTGCAAACGAACCGAGTTTCTTCGCCGCGCGCGGTGACAACGCAGCCCGCCGGTTGTACTCCAGTTGTCTCATCACGTTGTGGAATATAATAACCGCGCTATTATAGTCTGCAACGTTGTAAGAAGAGGAGATTAAGGATGAGGGACACTTTACTATTAATACTGCACGAAGCCTCCCGTAACCCCCACGGGGCCTTTAGATAGAAGAGAACAAATAGAATGGAAGTAACCTCTCTCGTCGGTGTGTTCGTCGGTTCGTGATTTTCTGGTGACGGTGAATAAGAAATAAGGGAGATAATGTCACTGGTTGATTGTATTAGATGATAAATGTCTTCCTCGCGTGAGAAAGCACGTTTGGAACATATTTATATGAATAATATGCGCTTATGTTATTACACGCTGAACGATAGAGTTAATTGCACGCCGTGCTGTCGCGATAAAATTTAGAAAAACGTTTCTTTAATTAAACGTTGTTAACAACGTTTTTTTTATGCGACTGTGTAATTCTAAGCGATATGTGCCGTTAAGCTGGCAAATCTCTCTCTCTCTGTCTCTCATAATGGGATACGTAAACTGTTTTAACGGGATTACATGAATCACTGATTTTAATCTGCGACACTCCGCCACTTCGCTCGCATTTTTCGGCTATTTGGCGAATAATTTTTGTCACATAAAACGACAACGTCGTATATCTGTCCCGCGTCCATAAATCGCGCACCTCTTGACCAGATCCCTCAAACAGATGGGGACTGTCATCTCTCTCGAGTCCTGTTAACGAAATACCTGGGCATTTTTGCTAATTAAAATTGCTCCAGGTGCTCGTTAATTTATATGCGTACACGACAAAAAAATATATACATATATAAATGTTACGCGATATAAACGCATGCGCGGAATCCCATTACGTCTACATATATAACTATAAGAAGCAACGGTGCTTGGTAACCTTGAACCAATTATGTATAGCTGTACCAATTATTTCGCAAATCGGTCACTTTGCATTTCGGTGAGGCCGAATCGGCCCGAAGAGCTTTACGCTCTTACGTACGATGCCTCGTAAATAATGGTGTAGCAAGGAATGCGATTATCTACACGAGGGGATCACCGCGCGCGGTGAATTAACGAAACTGCAGCGCGCGACGGGCAGGCACCTAGCCGTTTTTCCTTATTACGCAAAATAACAGGTTGCCTCATGGCATCCAGTGGTTTACGAAATACCGATTTACATAAAAAAAAATTTAACGCTTTTACTTAGAAAATAAATAAATAAATAAATTGTACGAAATAAATTTCTGATTTTCTCGCTGCTGGAAGTAAAAGAGTTTTGGCTTTCAAAATTTTTTTTCGTAAAATAATGCGTGCGTATAAACGTGCACCCGCGCACGTCCGCGCGCAACCATCTGCGGAGCTATAACCATCGCCACGAGAGCGTGGCATCTAGGAATTTTATCGGGTTTATATCGCTATTTACATTCCCCTGAATCTCTAAACGCCGGCTTGAGATCTACGCGCCCCGTTAGCTTCTCCAACAAAAGGACGTCTTTCAAGGAGTTCCGCATATCCGGGCAGATGCAACTCTCGCACGATCCACGGCGGATAAAAGTCGCCGTGCCTCTCCATCAGCGCGGACCCGCGCGTCGCGACGTCCGTGTCGGGCGGCGCGACAACGCTCACCGCCGCGCACGTCCCGTATAAAACGCCATAAATTCTCGCGCGCGGCTCGACGCGCGTGTGTCCCCCACGGGAGAATCGGGCCGATTAGTCGACATTGAAAGTTGCCGAGCGGTACCCTAACGTTAACGGTGTCTCGAGCAATTAAGTCTGCCGCGCGCGCGCGCGCGCGCCTCCGGCTTGCGTGCCCTCACTCACTATATGCCAGGCGTGCGTAAACACGTGCGTACACGCGGCACCGTACACGTGTGTGCGCGCGCGCGCGCAAGCGCGCGGCTCGCTTAGCTCGCTTACTTACTTGTATACGACAATTACCCTTTAAATTGCCGGTGATCTTGCGGGGAAGAAAGTTCAGGGTGACGCACTCTTCTCTTTTTTCTCCCCCCCTCCCCCCCCCTCGTCTCTCTCTCCCCCTTCTTATTCTCTTCTTGTTCTTCTTCTTCTTCTTCTTCTTTCTTCTCTTCTCTTCTCTCGCTCGTCCTCTCAAGGATTCACTCCCTCTCGATCTATCTCTGTTACCGTCCGTGGCCGGTACGGAATAAGCGTGAGAAGAAATGCCTCACTCTCCGCGGGATACCCTAATACAAGCGGGATCGCGGCTGATTGTGAGATTTAGATACCGCGGCTGTGACGGTTGAACGGATTAATTATCGGCGAGCTTGGCGAACGCTCTTTTTTTTCTCTCTCTCTCTCGCGTCGAGAATGCTTCCTCAATTCTCCGAGTGTATTAGCGAATTCGTAACGCACGGACACCTCGGGACGAGGACGCTTCTAATTACGGTGATTATAATTGGAAATTGATCAATCTCGATCTCGAGAATCCGTTTGCGTAATATACGCAGGTACAGTTAGGATGCTCCAACTTATATTAATGGAGTTATTAATAACGCGTGTCTGTGTCATCGTCGACAATGACTAATAAAAAATAATTAGCATTAATATTAATAGCTAAGATATGTCAAAATAACTATTCATTTGTGTGAAAAAAAATTAATGAAACGTATATAAGCTCACCTCTCACATTAACTGAAATACATGCTTTTTTCTAAACATATATATAATATTATGTAAAAACGTATTATTTAAATGCATCGTTTATTTCCTTGCGGCGATTTTTTTCAATAAAGATAAAAGAAGCTAATGTGTGAGTGCAAAATAATTCTGAATATCCGTTAATTTAAAAAAAAAGTCATGATAATTTGTTAATATAATTGCGTTGAATGGTTCTACCGACCTGATTAAACGACACAGTTTATGTGCATTGCGTATGCATGCCGAAGATATTCATTCCCGACAACAAGCTGTTAACATTTCAAATGTATAATCTTCGCATAGATAATCAAATTATCTCGCATAATGGCTTCAATCTCTCAGCTGATCCCGCATATAGGTATTGATGCGGCGTGTCGCAGTAAAATCGCGTGGTTGCAAAGCTAATTACACAAATGAATTCCCATGTAATACAATGTGTCTAATAAGTTTATGCGCAGAATAAACATTATGCATAAATATACCATATGTGTGTATTTGTCCCATCTTGCATCTTATCGTTAGAAACTTTATTTTGAAGATACCAATACATTTCATTTACTTTCATTTGCAGAATTAATTTGTCACAATTATCTACAATGTATATACATGTATATAATGTATATACATGTATATAACATAATAATATATTCGATATTTCTTGATAATAATAATAGGTATACGAAATATTGTATATAAAATATAATAATGTTTATATCAAAATGTAGTTTGGTTTTAAGAAAATAAAATTTGTTTAACTTTTTGCGAACTACACTCGATCGAGAAAGTAAAGAAAGCATAAAATTACGAGATTTCAGAGATTCTTGCTGCGCCGCGATTATACGCTACGTCAATTGCATTACGTAATAGCTCACGTTCTATAGATGCACATATGTACATCGCCGGTACGAGCTGCGACCGGCGGAAGCCGTGTGCGTCACGGTGAAATCGCTGAGGCTTCCAGAGGACAGAGATCTACGATCCGCCGGACGAAAAACGAGGCGAGGCTTCCTCACATGCTCGCCCCGAGGACAGGGGAGCGTTGAACCGCGCGGAACGTCGACCTACCGCTATACGCCATGCGAGAAGTGTATGCAAACGGACAACAATTAGCCCTGAATCCATCCGCGGTGATATGGATTTGTCGACGAGAGGGGGCAACGGCGGAGATTTCTCCGCGTGGCATTGTGCCACCGGTAGCTACCGTCGTCAGGCTCTTCCCACGAAGAATCCGATCGGACACGCCTGCCCCGCCGGGGAGGCCTCCCCCCCCCTCCTCTCCGCGGTTGTAAATCACGATATACATAGGCAGGCACGACGACATCTCGTTCGTCGTTGACCTACCTATGCAAACGGTAACAGTCCCTTAAGAGGGCCGGCTCATGAAAGTGATTATGTAAAGCAGCGCATCTTTGAATCACAGATTCGAATTATCTCGACCCGCGCCGTGGTACCGTAGGTCACGCTCGCGGCCACGCATTACGTGGGCATAAGGCCCCGTGTATACCCTCCCCCGTCGTCCTTCCCCGTGGACGATAAAGATCGAGAGTACATATTTCCGTAATACGTGCTCCACGGAGATGCACGAGAGGAGCGGGGGCGGGATCACATCGCAATACTGCATGATCTACGACTGTTAAGAGAACATAAATAGCTGATAATGTAGCCGGCACGCGTATCAACGGGAAGAAGGACATTGCACGCTTTGTGATCTAAAACACTTATGATCTAGTAGAACGAATGGCTAAGAAGGTGAATCATCTTCCAAGAAAGTTGGAGAACTTATCTCCCGTCGTTAACCTTTGAAAGACCGGACGACGTTACAATGATGTTCTCCTCTAGTTTGGCGGATTACATCGTAACGGGACGTGTGTGTTACATTTTTTTTTTGTAGAGTAATATAAAGTTACGTGACGCAATAAGTCGTCGTGTAATTTTTGTCAATTCTAAATTTATATATATTTTTTTTTATGAAAAAAGTAATTCATACAAATGTATCAAGTATAATGCGGCTTAAAAGTTACTTTAAAAAAATGTCGAAAGTTGCGATAATAAAATAGATAACTGTGCTTATCTTTTATACACGCACGTAACTCGTGCGATACAGTTTTCGGACGCGCAATCCATAAAATGTATTGCTTCAGCTTCACATTGCACACCTCTCTTCGGAATCCGTATTTAAGTAAGACGTTTCCCTCGTTTCTCGAGTGGAATCACACAAGCCTTCCGTTATATTCGACTCCGTTTCATCGCTATTTACTTCGACGTAATTATGTCGACGATAATCGCGATCCAGATGGAAATTGTGCTTGAAATCTTCAAAAGCTGACCAGAACTCCGCGATCTTTTGGTCTATTCGCTTTATTAAATCATCGCGATGCCGCTGAACCTCGATTTTAACAAAATGCTCTATCCTACGCAGAAGCTTAGCGTTGTTCTCGTACGATGCCGTCATTTCGCAATTGGATTTGTGCGACTCGTCTCGTTTCTTCACAACCGTATCGTCGCGTTCGTACGCTTCGCATTTCTCTTTTCGTACGTCCGACAAATTGATTGCACTTTGCATTTCGGACCTGCAATCATATTTGGATTTGTAATGTAAATGTCGTGTGACTATAAATAATGTTGCCATAGGAAAAATATAACAGTTAAATGAGACTCTCGGGAAACCAAACTGATCAAATTTGAATAGAAAAATAGAGAAAACTGGTGAAATTATAAGATAATTACATATTTTAACCAAGAATTAGAGATTTGACCAAGAAATAAAATTAAGAAATTTACAGAAAGTAAGAGTTGATCGTTTGGTTTCCGCGTGCAGGCTCAAATGTCCGGTCAATCACCAGGCTCGAAATTGCTCGCGCAGCTCGATCAAATTGCTTTCGTGCAAGCTAATAACGTCCTCCTTAAGTCGCTTCTCCCACGCGTCGATTCGCCTTTGAAAGTCAAAGTAAGACTTCGCACTTCGCCTCTCCAAGGTCTCCAGATGTCGTTCGATATTATCGTACACTTTCCTCATGCAGCCCATCTCGTCGTGTATCCGCTGCCTCTCCGCCAATTGCCATCTGACTATTTGTGAGGAGATCCTCTTTTCGTGCTCATCCCGCCAAGTCAGCAGATCTCTCTGAAGAATTTCACATCTCCCGTGACTCTGGCATTTCTGCGGGCTCTGGTACCTCTTCAGGGCGACGATCTCCCTCTCGGCTTGGGACAATCTGCGCTTAAGCTGTTCCACGGTGGTCTTCAAGGACTTGTCACGGAGACCGATTTCTGCCTCGTCATTGTCGCCGGAAGCTTCCGCCTCTGGAACGCGCATTCTTGTGTGACATAACAGGTACACATATTCCCCGTTCACTTTAATATGCAATGATAACGCGGAATGTTGATAGAAAAACTGAGAAGTCCCGCGCGTTTTACGGACGCTTTAAGTTATTTATATATTCTCGTCTCTCTTCTACGCTTCAACTTTAAATTGTATTTTACAGTTTGCCGGCTTTTCTCTATTAATTCTTTTTTCCGCAGGATTTTCGGAAAGAGAAACCTTTAAATGCGTCTGGTTCGAAGCAACAGTAGCTGCCCGCGACTCTCCGTAGCCGATGATAATCCTGCTCCGTCCGTTCGTCCCCGGAGCTGCTATCCCCTGCCGAATCACTCTTCTTGTACTTTAAAGTGTCAAGTTCGTACATCGGATTGCCAATCGAATCTCATTCCTCTCTCAATTCGCAATGCACGTTTCTATTACCTTCCGATTTTCTCAACATCCTTGGGTAATCTTTATAGGGAGGCCTCGTCATCCGATAGCCATTTCCTTCCGATTCGCTAAAATTGATACATAGCGTGGATTCGGATTCCTCCTCAATGGGCGACAAACTACGAATTTCCTCAAAATTCTCTTCGCTTTTCCGCATATTTCCGATATTGTTCCTGACGCATTCGACAGCCTCTAGATTTTACAATTTTACATATCCGTCTCACATAAATAATCATTGATTATGCTAGTAAAAGAAGATAAACATACATTATTTCTCTTAGGCCCGGTTTCACAATTCGCGGTTAACTCGATTAATCGAAATTCAACTCCCTTTATCTTTTTCCAAACTAAGAATTAGAGAGAGATAAACAGTAAGTTGAACCGAGATTAAAGTTAATCTTACATTTGCGGAACCAGGCCTTAAGCATATAAAATAGAAAAATTTAAAAATCTAACATTAACTTGAAAAAAATATTTTAACAATTATTTAATACACGTTTTCTTTATGTAAAAGTTGATTATCTTATCATAAAACGATTTATTAAGATATAATTACGTTCTGCAAAAAATTAATTACCGAAATAATTACACTAGAAAACGCATTAGAAAATCAGTATGTTAAAACTCTACTATTATAATCTTATTCCACTGTAAGTAAAACTTATATAAGCAACTAAGCCAACCCATAGTTGTATCCCGCTCTTGATTCACAAAGGGTCGTCTCCTCCGACAGAAAAGTCTCTCTCTCTTCCTCTCTTCCAGTGACCTTCGTCGTGCGCGATACGCGAGAAGCGGAGAAGAAATCCGCGTCCGCGTCCTTTGGTTGCTCAATCGCGGGAAAAAGAAACGGGGCACGGGGAGGGTACCGCGCGGCGTAGAACGGCCAGGACGAACAGCAAGAACGAGCTTAATGGCGCTGTAACGCCGGCAGCGGGCAATTTTCAATTTCGCTGACTCGCGCGGAAGTGGCTTTCCCACCTCCGTGGCGGAATTGAGACGTCGCTACGAGTCACGGGGCACTTGGCACCACTGGATTTGACATGGACAGCTGGTCGCATTGGACACGTTAGGAACACCGTAAGGAAAAGGAGCGGGTTTCCCCGGATAGTCGCGCGGCACCAACCCTTTCACTGTCCTTAACATTCGTCCTTCTGCTCGAAATGAACTTGAAATTAAGATCTCGTAAAATTACAGGTATGTGGGATCGCGCGATCGCGTGTACCCCAGTACCTCCCTCGAGAGTAACGTCAAAGTTACGAGAAAGAAATGTTTGCAGAATTAACCGGATTATAGGCGTGATTCTAAACTCTTAATAAAATACATAAAAAGACTTATCCTTACATCCTGGCGTATATAATTTACTTCGTAATTATATATTTGAATTAGATACACGCTGTCCGTCACGGAAGTCTTACTTTTATTCTGTACGCGCACGATAACGATCTTAACGTTGCATCTCTCGCGAAGATCTTCAAGATCTTCTGATCGTTTGAAATAAATAATAGAAAGACACGTGCAGTTTGCAATAATTATTCGAAGATGCTTATCCGTTTACGTCAGACGTTATAAGGTTATTCGACTGCGCGCCGCGCGCCGGTTCTCGCGATGTTCGCTCCACACACGCGGAAATGGAGGAGAAGCGGCCGCTCGCTCGTTTGCTCGCGAGCAGCGAATGCGGATCGTTGCATGAAATTAAACGGGGGGAACGAAGCCACACACGAGTCGCATTATACGGCTCCGAGATAATCGGGTGCCGAAGCTCGCGCGCGAGCCCTTCCGCCTGATATCCTAGTTTCGCTCGCGCGCGAGGAGAGATCGGCCGGCCTCGCGGTGTGTGAGAACACCTGCGGCGAAGACAAGAGCGGCGAACACCAAGAGGCGGCGAGGAGGAAGGAAGCGTAACGAAGGCGCCGCTGCACGCGGGGAGGGCGAAAGAATGAAACGGGCAAGAACGGTAAGGAGCGAGGAGTCGCACGGTGTGTGTTATGGGCATAGCGGTCCTATATAGCGGTAGATAACCCGCAGATAACGCCGCTCATTTGCATAGGCAGGCGCATAAGTGTAAAGCAACGTGACGTTAATGAATTGCATGCGTAACGCGTGCAATCCGCGCGAGGGATATATAGGTGAAGAAAGCGCCGGTTCTTCTCTCGTGACGGATCGATCCTTTTACTCGCGGGAGCGAGAGGGTCGAGATTGCGTCACGCGTCTGTATAAGAGCATCGGAAATACTTATGCGCATAACTAACAGATGTAAAATGTAGATTTCTGATAGCTCTAATATTATATGTAATACAATAAAAATAAGTAATAAGAAAGATAGCGCGATGGAGCATTTTTTGATTACACGCACATATATCCTTATAAATTATGTAATGTATTATATTACCATAATATTATCGATAATATAATTAGATTAATATTAGATTATAATAAAATTATCAAATTATTATACAATTATAATATAATCTTTTGTATTGTAATTACTAGTTTTATGCATTAGCATATATTTGATAGAGCGAACACAAAAAATGTTGGCAATTATCGGAAACTTAAAATTAAAACTTTAAATATATTTCAAAATTTATCTGATGCGGCTATATAGTCAGGCGCACTCAGCATTACCGTGGACAAAGTTCCATGCAAATCGGAGAAATGGAAGCGACTTCGCTATTGTTTTATCAGTTCGGTGGAATGCCGATAACGGGGATCGTGGGACTGCTTGTTAGCAATCGCGAGAAAATCCATGGAAGTAGAGGAGAATTAACGAGCGTCACGCTAGGCGATTGTTGCCGTTATCCTGCAGTTGCATAACGATGCGATCGAAACAATATCGGGTTAAATGATCTACATACAAACGAACGTCTACTACGTTCACGATTGAGCTCAATTCGAAGCGTTAAATTTGAATTCTATTTGTTACTTCCATTTATTATTTCCGTTTATTACTTCTACTTTAGAACTAAACCACTTATATCGAGATGCACGCACAGTTGCTAGCACATTGTCATATCGCTATATGTTAATTGACTTATATATTCTTTGCAAAAATTGAAAATATCTGATCGTGGAATTAAAATTTCACTCATTTACAGCGAGGACGTTAATGCCGAAGTCACCTCGATAAAAATCTCTTTGGCGCGTAACGAGCACGTAAATCTCGTAATCGAGCGTGCTTATTATAAGCCTCGTGTTCACGATACCAGAAATCTGCTCCGAGATCTCAGACGGAGAAAGAATTAACAAATTGTATTTTAATAACTCGGCTACAATTGACCAATACGATCGGGGCAATTCTTTCCCCGCTCGCTTGGATCGCGAAGCGATTTCCAGCTATAGTCGTGGACACAAAGGCTTCATACCGAAATCGTAGCGCCTTCAAGTTCACCTGCCACGGAACGGACATCGGCATCCGGTTATTGCGCCGCACAATGGAGGTGAACGCGCGATGAACCACGCCGAAAGTGACTCATCTATTCCACCGCGCTCTCTTCGGTGCGGCCACCCTGATAGCGCGGATTGGCTTTGACGGCAGCCGGAGAGCCGCCTCCCGAGCCATTCGACTTACCTTGTCACCGACCTCGGGCAGCATGTCGTCGGGGAGAAAAACGCGTCGGCGACTAAAAAAGGAACGAGGGAGGAAAGGCGAGGAAAAAGAAACAGTCTACAATTAGCTCGGGCGAGCGCCCGCCGCCGCGCCGCGCCGCTCCGTGCGGCTCTCTTATCGCCACGCTGCGTCGGTAGCCGTCATTAATTAATTTTATACCAATTGTACATCCGTCCCTCTGCGCGCGAAAGAAGTAACCGCAGACGGCGAACTTGCCGCAAGGTTGACGTCGACTCTTCAACCTTGGTCGGTCTATTCTTTCAATAGCCTTCGACCACCGTCCAGCCGCGTCCCCCATCTCACTCTCGGTTTTCGTGGCCGGTTCTCAATTAAGTCCTCGTCCTCTCTCCCGCCGCGAGTGTTGGATTACCTTCGTAATTTCACCGTCATTCTTCGGCGATCGCGCGATTAACAGAGATTGTTACTATACTTGATCATAATGTTTGATTGATTGTTTGATCACAATCAAGTGTCCTTGTTACGCGTTAGGATAGCTACGTGGGACGCTACAGAATGATAATACATAACGATAAAAACTTAAACATATTATAATTTTAAATAATTAAATAGTGCCTATGCCAGCTGACACGGATGTTGGTGGATAATAATTTTTATTGTTACAATATATCTGCAGCCGCACACAAATTGCGCGCCGCATTTTTGTCGATCTTAAAACAGAGTTCTTACATAAAGGCGGAATTCATTATAACAAATTAAATTGACGAGCAATTTAATATTTGATGCCAATAAGCATCTATAAGAATCTCCTCCTCTCAAACCTGTGAAGAAATAATCATTACGAAAAATATCACCTTAGCCAGGACTCGAACGTGTAACAATAAAAATTATTATATATCAACATCCGGCTCGCATAGGCATTATTTAGTTATTTCTAACTTATTCACGGCCTTAGTTTCTTTAATTTGAACTCATAATTTTAATACACTATGTTCAACAAAAGAGTCGTTATTAATCGGTATTGATATTAAAATCGATATTAACCAATATTTGCTCGTTTTATCGTTCTCTCTCCATTACTTTCTTGCATATTATTTGATATCTATAAATATACCCATATATCCGTTGCGCCTTCTCGATCTATTCGCAAGACCAATGGCCGAGAGAGATACGTAACGGTGACAAGAACGCCGACGTCGACGGGACAGACTTCGACAACTTCATCTACGCGGCGTCGCGCACCGCCGCCGAATGGAGATGCAGCCGCGATAAATAAGTAATGATAAACGGTCAGCGCGCGGCTTTCCCGCTGACTCGTCAGGAACGCGTCGCGGACGGGAGAGGCAACGGAAGCCGCGCGGATATCCCCTCGAGAGTGTATTCACGGCGAAGAGCTAACAGTATCATACCGATGCGATACCGATGCGACTATCTCGCCGCGGCGGTACCCACGGCGCCGCGGCGCGGAGGAACAATCGAGCGAGTAGCGGCCGTGAAATCGCGATACGACGATACTTCGTGTCCGTATAGAATGATTAGAGAACGAGGAGGAGTGATTCTCACGAGACTCGCTTCATCAGCTGCCCCGTTCTTACCGTCTTTCTTTCTTTGGTCCCGCACTCAGGGCTATGGACATGTCCGGAGTAATCCAATTTTTCATTTCAGCAATTCTGATCATTTCGGTTATCACGATACGTGGGCGAATTTTCCTGTTGAAAGCTTAATTTGACGTTAAAGACAAAATGCGATCCGGCGAAGGATGTCATTATATTGTTTAATAAGTTTATTCGAGACCAATAAAAGATGCCTCGAAATCAATTTGCGCGGTGAAACTTCTAAGTACCTTACCTATCTTATTCCGCCGTTAGACAGATTGGATGATTGGCGAAGGTAATTAGGTAATTTACAACATATATTATATGCATTATGTAAAATATTATCCACACACACGCGCGGTAATGGACTGCGTTGTTTATTTCCAGAATACCGTTGAAAGTATCGTTATGTCCAGAAGATATTTCCGAAGAGACCTTCATATAATAATTTCGATCACGCAAATAGGATGTAATCAGGAAGGTGTTAAATGAGGTTGTTGATGAAGTTGTCGGAGGCGCGGATCGTTGTTGGGATACAACACACGCGTGCCTCACGGGTACGTGCCGCCTTTTAATGCAGACATTGGGTTGCGCGGATGGAAGAAATGCAGACGCACGTTTTTCCGTACATATACGTACGGTGGACGGGTATCACGTGTGTGTGTGTGTGTGTGTGTGTGTGTGTGTGTATGTGCGCGCGATGCATAGTTCCCTTCCGCAATTTATGCGGAATGCAGTCTCGGGGCGCCACGGAGCCCTTACACACAATGAGAAAACGCCGAGAAGAAACCGCGAGATCCTACGTGCTTTCATTAACAGCATTAAATGAGCGCGTGCGATTTGATTGTATAACGGGCCATTTAACTATCTAAATATTGCGCGAAAGCGATGCGGTAAAACGGGATCTCTTGTGCAGTTTCGCTGGTCGCGCGCTAACTCGAAATGCAAATTATTATTAAGTAGACAATAATTCTGTTGTTAAGTGGATATAATATTTCTTGTTTATACGTGTACATAATAGTTATGCATTTGTAATATATAAATATTAATTACATTGTATTTGTATAAACTACAATCGTGTGCCTGTGATACAACCGTTTTTCAGTCTCTGAAATAACAAACCGCACGCTGTAAAATATACACATGTCGTTATTATGTCGCACATATCGCCACATCAATGTAATTGTCTGAAAATAATAGTTTTTAAATTGTATCACAGTTTTTCGCCATGAACAAATAAAGAACGTGAGCAATTTACAAATCCTATAATCGCTAACTCACTTAACGATAATTCTCAAGAACCACCCACTTGATTATAGAATAAAATGTTTATACATTACGTTTACGCAAGATAAATATCACGAAATAGATAACGTAAACGTGCGATGCGCTTCATCTTCTCCTAATTCACGTGTTGCATGTCTAAGAGCATTTAAGACACAAGTCTAAAAGCATTTCTGCCATGTAATTAATCATCCACAATCGGAGGCAGATCACGATAAAATACATTTAATTACAGCTACAAAAAGTTCACGCTATGTTTGCACGTTTTCCTGTGTTTTTTTAAAGGGGGGGGGGGAGATGAAAATTTACGGGCGTGTGAGTTTACTCAGTTTACTTACGCCGGTACATTTTATTGCACCGATCGACGGAGGTGGCGAGGTCCTGAGATCTGCGATAAAGTCGCGTCCACGCACGTGGAGAGGCGCGGGATGGAGGGGCATGAGCATGTGGGTGAAGGCTGGAGGGCTCTCCAGGATATGTCGAAAGTGAAACTCAAGGTCTCATGCAGTCTTTCGTTGTGTGATGCATGTATATGCATGACCATTGTCCGCCCTCATACGAGTTCGATCGCAGCTCGCGATAAGCCTCGATTCAGGTCCTTGGAGAGCCTCCAGTTCGGCTCTGCTAAACGATCGTTGGGGCCTCGTAGATGGAGACGTTATTACGGAGACGGATCGCAAGAAGTGAAACTCGTCTTCTGCTCAAATCCACCTCCAATCTCTCAAGATCAGCGTAACTTACACCGCGTGCTTGCTTGTACTCGGTATGAAACACGTAAGAAGCATGCATGCTGAAATATTTAATTAGTAGGATTTAATAAGGTAAAATATGTACGGGAGATAATAAAGAAACGTAGCATCATATGTAAGTAAATAAAACTAGGTGAGAGATAAAAATCTTATATTTCCTTTTTTTTTTTCAAAATAGATTGATGCTAATGTTTGAAATATTACGGTCTATGTTTAGAACACGTGTATAACAATGTTGGCGCGCTAACAAGTTGAGATTTTTATAGTATATATAACGTTTTATTATATGCTAACGTTTAACAATTATATGCTAATAACGTAATCGTTATAAACGCGTTGGACTATAATATGGACTATATTTCAAGCAGCATCAATCCATTTTGAAAAGAAGAAAATACGTTTTTTATTTACATACCTAAATATTTTACGTTTCTTTATTATTTCCGAATACTAGCCTATATGAAATTATTCTCTATTATGATTTTTCAATATTATATTAATAATGTGTTTAAGATTTCATTCTGGAATAAAAGTATACTTACACAAAGTGAAACATATCAAATTAATAATCGGTGCTAAGCAGCCATACTGAAGTAAGACAGGGAACATGAAATTACCAATCATGGATCCCACTCTTCCTATTATCATTTCTGTGCTTACTGCCATAGCTCTGAAAAAATTAAAAGATCGATCATGCATATATTAATCACTTGTCGCTTTGTGCAAGTCAATAGTAATTATTAATTTGTGAGTTTAAATAACATACCTCAAAGACGTGGGGAAAAGTAAAACGGTTGCGCCGACCAGAATGTTGAAACTCTTACTTAATAATCCGACGTATAAACACGTGAGCACAAGGGTGGTTAACGTATTTGTAGACCAGATTAAAGCTATCAGACACAAAAGCGAGCATCCGTAGTCGATAACTGCATTTGAAAGAAGTGGAAAGGTATAAAATATTAGTACTTCCTATTTTTTCTGTAGCATGAAAACACTTTCGGTGTAAAAAACAAAAGAATAACACTAAAAAAACTTACATAATAAATATTTGTGTTGCAGAAAATGAACAAAGACGCTGGCGGCCAATATAAAGATACTAGAAGTGCTCGATACAATAATTGTGTCGATGTACATTGTATCGGATATAAGAATCTGAAAAAAATCAACTTATTAACTTATCAATTTATTTAAAAAATATTAATATCACTTAATTGTAAAGATTTCGTTGATTGTTTGTTCCGCGCGGACGTGTATTTTACGTAGCAAAATATTAGAATAAATGCAAATGAACAAATAAATGCATAAAATGTACTAATATACTTCTAATACTAATATCTTATAATTATTATCTTACATTTTCGCAAGTTGATATTTCTTCCAATGCAACAGTTCTATTTGCATTAATAGACGTCGAAATATCCAGTATTTCGCAGAAGGTAGGATTAGTTACGTTCGTATCAAGACTGTAAAAATTGTCTATCGTCGCAAAAAGTTGTGGCTGCCAAAGGCGAAGGGTATTTAAACTGTAAATGTAAAAACATATATTAACATATAAAAGTCACAGTAAAGTCTGGTAAACCATTTAGATGTATTAATGTATTATTAAACCGTATATTAAATAAAACCGTTTATTAGAGAATAAATTTGAGAGAGAGAGAGAGAGAGAGAGAGAGAGAGAGAGAGAGTGTGTGTGTGTGTGTGTGTGTGTGTGTGTGTGTGTGTGTGTGTGTGTGTGTGTGTGTGCGCAGCCACATAATCCTTAAATAATCCTTATTTAAATAATTTATAAATGAATATTTCTTTGATCTCTTTTTAATTCAATGTGATAATTCCGCTATAATTTTATAGCTTTGTATTTTATTCAAATACATGGATTACGGAAAGATAAAAAGTTTGCATACAATATGTATCGTTCGCGTAGACATGGGTATTTTATAAAAATGGACTCTTTATAATCAAAAATAACGACAACAAAAATTGCAATGTTAAATCTGAAAATCGTCTCACTTATTTTGATTGTTATCAACGCAATGATCTACATTAATGGAAAATTTTCACTGAGTTCGATAATACCTCTGACTATAAAGATTTAATCGCAAACTGCACAATTGCACAATTAAACCGATAAACAGCGCGTTTTTATTTTTGTTACCGCTATCGGCCTGACGTCCCTTAATTTAGTAGAAGATTTTGCTTGAAGATTTAGTAGAAGATTCAGTAGAAGATTTAGTAGAAGATTTGATACTTCTGAACCGAGGACGATGTGTATTCAGTTTTATGTTTGTCTCGACGGCTTGACATCCTTGAATTTAGTAGAAGAATTTAGTAGAACACGTGATACATAGCAGGTACATATAGTATCCCGGGGCGATATGTATCCACAGATAATGAGAATATATCTCAGTTAACAGAAATATGAAGAAACAGATGTGTGTGATATCTTCCGCGCTGATAAGGTCGTAAATTCTCTGTCATTCAATCATCAACGCGGCATTTATATGACTAACCGAGATCCCGCTTTTTTACGACGAGTCATCTACCTTATTGTATCTTGTGCAAAAAGCGTGATTCTACGGGAGCATTATACGGATACTTGCACGAATATTATCGCTATTACCGCGCGCTACTCGCCATTCTGATAACTCCAAGATTTACGACCGCAAACCTCATGATTCGCGGCAAATTATTGTGTAGCTAATAAGAAGAAAAATTGACATTTTGATACTGCCATCCATTATTGTAAACAATCTATTTTTGGTTAAAATTCAGAGCATGAAAGTACGGCAAATAATGCCGTACTTTTATACTCTGGATTTTAACCAAAAATTTAGAGCAATTAGCGATTCGCGCACGAGAAAAAGTAAATAATAAAATGCTTACCCCAACATCATACAAAATTGTATAACCACAAATAATATGATACGCGACAAATGTGGATTCAAGAAAATGGGTTTCATCTGCTGAATTCCGTTCTTTAAACTCGCTTTTGTACTGTTGTCACATTTTGATTGCTCCGCAGTTATACTGTTTAAATTTACATCACTTAAGGCGCGTATCTAAAAATAAAAAAAAATGTATAAAAATACTTATATCTTTGTGGTTTATAAATCATCTAAGTAATTTTATATTAAATATTATGATCATAATTATATTTACAGGATAGTTATCTTTAGGCAGGCCAGTGTTCATGTTGTAAATCGTCTTGAAAACTTCAAGGGCATCTTCGTTACGATTTTGCGTCATCAGAAATTTAGGACTCTCCGGGAAGAAAGAGATGCAAACGACGCCTATCAACGACGATACTCCACAGAGGGACAGAAAGATCCTCCAGGAATTATAGACGAAGGCACCGTCCCAAAGAACAATTGACCACGGCTGAGGAACCACTAGCCAAGCTAACGCTAACGACAAATGCATGCATTAAATATTATTTTTATGAAAAATTAGATTTATTAAGATTGTCCGAAAAAAAAATTTTTATATATAAGAACATACATAAATATGTAAAATATATATATAAACTTAAATAAATATATATGATATATATTCAAAATATGCTCATATATATGTATATATATATATGTCCATACTAATTTCTTTCTTTTGTGAAATTTCTATATGACGCAAGAAAAGTAATAATAATGAAGAGACATAGAAAATAATTTAAAAAATAATTTTTGCTTAAGTAGTTTCTTTTACAAAAAGTTAAAATCATGCATACATAATCATACATGTATATAATTAAAAATATATATACGATTATATATAGGTAATTATTTCTCATTCTTTTAACTTGACATCTTATAAAAGAATGTGAAAATTAATTTTTAATTATTTTTTATGTCCCCTCATTATTATTATTGCTCTTCTTGCACCAAATATAAATTTTCACGAAAAAAAGAAACTAACAATAAGTAAGAAAACTAATAAAGAAAGAAATTAATATGGACATATATGGGTACATTTTATATATAATGATATTGTATATTTATTTATGCCTATGTATTTTTATATATATTCTTATAATGTAAAACATTTTTTCCCAAGTGCTATCGATAATACAATTCAACACTTATTTAGAATTTAAATAAACAAAATGTTTTTCAATGGACTTTTGGTCGCTAAAAACAAATCCAACAGCGAAATTGTTTTATCGTCATATCACGTCAAGTTTTCAAAAAAATTAACATTAAATGTAATAAAATTGACGTTTTTGGCCACATTTACTATTTTTCTGCAATCAAAAATAATTTTTTATTTTTAATTTTATTTACGCCACTTTAAAGTGCTATATTTTTTTATATTAAAAATTTATATTTATTACGGTATGATTATTATTTTCCATTGAGTCATAAAAGTTTTAGTAAAGACAAGGATAAGGACTAACTATTTTCGTTGGATTTGTTTTTAGTGAACGAAAGTTTATCAGAAAACACTTTGTTTCAAGTCCCCCAAAAAAGATCTATTTTTATATAACTGTAATTGTTTACATAATCGATTTTCAATAGTAAATAAACGCCAAAATATTTTACCTGCATTAAATATATTTCCAAACGAAACCGAGAAGCCAACGAGAATTGGTATCTTCGTTCTACCGCTGGCGCCATAAAATTCCGCACAGTATGCCATAAGAGAGGCATATGGACCGCTCACACTAATAAATTGGTTGTTAACTTCTTTTATTATGAGATAAAAATGTACAATAAATATATAAAATTATGATATTATGTGTATGTTAAGATAAAATATACTTGTGTTGTGTGTGTGTTATTTTTTGTTTGAATAGCTGCGTGTATGTTATTGAACTTAATATATTAATGTAATATTTTTCTCACATAAGGCCACTGAGAAATTTGAAGAATAGAAGCGTCTCAAAGTTCTGCGAAAATCCTGCGAATACATTGCAGATACCATCGGCCATGTAGCCATATAATATAACTTTCTTTCTTCCTTTAACGTCAGCAAGAAATCCCCATACAAAACCGCTCAACACCATACCTAGTATGAGTTTGGATATAGATAAACTAATTGTAAGTGTAAGATATATTTATTATATTGCTTTTTTTTATATTTTTATCTTATTATATTTTAGTATTTAATTATAAAAATTACGCTCGTATGCATAAAATAATATCTTTAAAAAAGTAATAAGAAGATTAATAAATGAGCAAAAATTAAGATGTTAAATTACTCAATTTATTCAAAATAATGCATGTGGTGATCATAGCGCACGTCTGCTTTCTGTTATACCAAAGATCCAAGTTCAAATCAATCTAGAACATATTGGATTGTTTTCAATCACCAACCTTTCGAAAGGCACAATAATGTCGGGAATATTAATGCCAAAACAGTCATCATGGAAATTGTATACAAAGGGAGCAGCATTGCCACAGACAATTCGTGCGCTTCCGAGTGATTGCATAAAATGGAGACAATCTTCAGTAATGAAGGACTGACTTGAAAGAAAGATTCAAAATGAATAGCAACGAAATAAGACGTTGCGAGTTATTGTGTGAAGATTGTTTGATAAAGATTGTGTCACAAAAATCTCGCAACCTGCAATCTCGTTAACATTTATTTTGGATAAAATTGAATAATCTAACACTCTAATTTTTGTTCGTTTATTGACCTTATTACTTTTTTAGATATTATTTTAATATCGCTTGAAATAACGTTAGCGTGTCTTGAGATAAATGCATAAAAATAATTTCGAACGCCGCATTGCACTTACCCACGTAGATACCAGCATTCAAGAGCCCTTTATCGAACAGCGACAATCCTAAATCGCATTCCGCCGGTGCGAGTATCATCGACATATTTGCCGTATCTATACTCGATGCCCAGGAGACCGGGATAATCGCAAGAATCAGGAGATATTGAAACTTCCCGGTCCCGGCGACAGTAATCGCCGTTTCGAAATCCGCAATTTTCGCATTTGGTACATCTTCGATTATAACTACGGAAATAATATATAATTAGATCATTATTGCATATACACACTTATTTTATATGTATATTTATATCTCAGTTCTACTGCTCTTGTCAGAGCATGATGATCTCTCCTCATTTCTGCTATGTGCGCTATTTACATTTTTACGCAGATATACGGGACCTACAGTTTAACGCCGGTTCCAAACGGCGGCAATTTTTTAAAAAGAAGTATATATATATATATATATATAATATACAAATTTGCTCTAAATAAATAAGTAATAAATAAATTCTAAATAATTACACTAGTTTACAACAAAAAATTATTTT